ATTTTAACTATTTGTAATTATTTTAATTAACTGGAACGTGGCTATCTTGGACAAAGTGAAGTTTTGTGTGTTGGTGATTTCTTTTTCTACTATAAATGCCTCTGATGATGGCTCCGTGGTGAGCCGAAACATGTAAGGCAGGTGCTGACGAGGTGGAAAACTTAAAAAAGTGTCACATTTGACGGAAGGAACTTGATTGTTAATTGGTTAGTGTGACGGACCAGAATGAAAGACCTTAAACCAGTTGTCACACTTTTCCAATCATTTCTTCGGTTCTGGATGTCGAAGGTCTCCCGCTGCACTGATCATCCTCTAACATCTCCTGCCCATTCCTAACTGGGAAAACCAGTTGTAAACTGCGGATTTCTTTAGTGCAGTATCACTGTAAACTTGCTACAGGGCCAATACCATCTCTGAAGCAGATTTTCCCAATGAATTTGATGTTCTCACGCTGTTCGAACTGCAACATTGCACCGAATGACCAACACTCACGTCTAATTCAAACGGAACAGTAACGACACTGCGCACTGAAACCTGTCCAGACCTGTTGTGCCTGTGAGTAGACATGCTGAGCTTCCCATCACAGCAGTGTGTGCGCTATCTTATCGCTCGTTCTCCATCTGCAGGGGAATTCCTGGAACTTTTTTACTGTCCTACATAAATGACAAAGCATAGTTCAGTAATTCTATTTAGATGTGTTTTTGTTTAGGTTTACAAATGGTGCTTAATTCATCGTTAATTATTGGGGTTTACTGATGAATGAATGAATGAAATGATAAGCATGTTTTAGTAATTCTATTTTGACAGACTTTTGTTCGGTTTTGCGATGCTTTTTCCTTCAAATGCATAAACATTGTTTCATGTTTAAACATCTAAACACCCTGTCCCTAGGGAAAAATTACTATTTTTATTTTCTTTTATGTTTTTTACAATAATTTTTACAACGTTTCTGTTTTTAATCTACTATTAATCTACATTGTACAAAAGATAATTTCCCCAAACATAAAAACACATGTACAAGACAATCACATTTCAACTACTTTGAGTCCCAAAGTATGTTTTATTTTTTGTTATTTACTGTTATTTTCTAAAGTGGTCTTTTGTATACCATAGGATTCGGATGTGAATTAGCAAACTTAATGCTGATTCCTCAGTTACAAGTTTCACTTTTTGTTCTTATACAGCATTATTATTATTATTATTATTATTATTCTGAAAGGCACACATTCTGCATGGAAATGATATGTCATTCTGGCCATAATACTTTCAGAGAGGTACATCATACAAAGAACACTATGTCAATGGAAAAAAAATATAACATAATACTATGTGGTACTTACAGGAATGTACTGGATTTAACATGAAACAATATAAACATATGGAAATAAAATAACATAAGTCTAAGCTGAGAATGTGAGGTACTCTGTGTGGCCTGTATTGAAACAATCACTCCATGCTGCTCCTTACTATTTACAAATCTTGTTGGAACACTTTCACTTCAACTAAAGCAATTAACAATGCAATGTGACAGAACTATGATTCTTCAACAAAGCTGCGTACAGTCTCACTTCATGCCAGTATTCTTCCCATAATCACAACCACATAAATCATCATTGTTTAAAGCAAGAATTCTGTAGTAATAATGAATCATTGTAGATATCAGAAAATTAATTCTGGGTATTTTAACACCATATTTTATGGTTAGCTAACATATATGTATATATATCTATTGCTAAAAGTGCTGTGCTTCAAGATGTGAACATCTGCAGTCACTGTTATACTGCAACTCATCCAAAACTTCGTTCAAACAACATTTAATATGAACTTGGACTAAAGCACACTGAGTGAGGCGTGAGGGGTTCATATACCACATCTCCATATATTTTTGTACAAAACTAAGCAGTCTACAAATGTGTGTATTTGTCAGTTTCTTTTTTCTTTTATGCATCTTGTAACTTCATAATACAGTTTATTTATATTTACTTCTGGTCCACACATCTATGGCATCTCAAGCACTAACTGTTCCCTGGGGAAGGGCTCAGGTTCACAGTCCTCATTCTACAATCAACGGTCTTCTTGTTTGTTCTCCTTTAATTGAAGGTGATACAAGTTACAAGTAGATTAATATAGACATGTTTAAAAGTGGAAGATCCCAAGAAATATTTTTTGCATTCGTAAATATTAAATTTTATTCATCAGGAAAATGTCTCCTGTACTGTGAGAGAGTTAAGTGTTAAAATTGTGTTTAATATATTATGACTCATAAAATTTTGCCATATATCTTTAAGTCAAAGTGATTTCATTTTCATGAAAAGTGATGCTACTATGTAAGGCTCCTTTCCCAAAAAAATTATGGCATATAACATTTTTGTGATGCATATTAGCAAATCAGTTATTTTAATGTAGCTGCTTCCACACAGCCACATGACTGAGCAACAGTTTGCTAATATGCACTCCAAAAAATGGTTTGCCTAAAGACTCATGGAAAAGATTTTAACTTGTTTCATGCTTTCTGGTGAATTCTATCTTTATTTGCTACAATCATGGAAATGGCACCAGAGTGCCTTCACTTGTCTTTATAAGGATTAGAAGAACAAACACATGATGATTTAATAAAACGCAATTTGCGATTCCAGTCACTTATCTGAAGTGTCCATGAATATCGCATCTGCACTGTTTATAAAAATCACATGTCAGATCCACCTTTTCTCGATGCTGTCTTAGAATCGGGATTCATATCGGAACCTCTGATACTATTTGAGCCGCTTGAAGCCAGCACCATCCTGACCAAGCTTCAGTTCTTCATACAGGGACGGAGGAACTTCTGTTGCTTGGGCTGGAACATGCAGGGTCTCGTGCTTCCAGCCCTGCTGTGTCTGCACATGGCTACCTGCAGGATTCACGCCATTGGCAGTCCCGTTGGCCAGCGCACTGTCTCCCTGACTTGCAGGAATCTGAAACAATACCTTATTATCAGGATATGAATTCAGAATACAAATGTTCCCATTGATGGCTCTATAAACCCTTCCTTATAAATTCATCTCATTTATCATGGAGAATTTACAGCTTTAGGCTGTTCTCCAACTGGCACAATGGGCTGCATGAAAATGTTCATATGCACTGTGCAGTTTTTCTGTTTGCAACTGTCTTGTCGCTTTATGTAAAACTTATCCCACCAATGCAACTGAAACTTTAGTTTCAGTTACCATTACAACTAGAGTTGTGCATGATTTGATGAGATTGTTTATTACTGACTTCACTTGCATAATCATATAGCAAGAGTGAGATAGTTTTATTATTACATGTTTCCTGCTGATTACATAACTAGTCGTTTCAATGTTCAAGCATCAGATGCATCTGCTTTCAGAGACTAGTTTCATACAATTGGTTTTGCCAGCCTTAGATAAAGTTATAACTGGGTCTAAAAATGATTTTTCTTTGTATTCCATTACATATTTATCATATAGGAAAATGTTTCAGAGGTTCTTGAGAAATTTCACATGGCCACATCTGCACTTATCATAAGGTAAGGTTTGTATATAGACAATATGCCCAAACATTAAACTAACCCAATAACTTTTAGAGTTTGTCCTCAATATAATATTTAAGATAAATCTGTATAATAGTTTCAGAGATTAAGAACATGTGAGCTTCCCATTATGTGTCCTTCTAATGTGTTTTGTGCAATAAAGACACAGAAATTTGCCCACAGTGTTTTATGGATCTGAATGGAACATAAATGGACAACTCCATAACTTACCTGTATATGATCCATGTTGACCTCACGCAAATAGCTGGGATTCTCAAATGCAACTCCTCCAGATGACTTGTGACCCAGCATGTGTCTTGTCCGCATAAACCAAATAGCACCAATAATGATAGCAGCAACAATGATAAGAGCCAGAACAATCCCCACAGCCACACCAGCAGAAGAACTGTCATTACCTGCAAAAAAATATTGTCTTATCTAATGTTGCTTAAGCTGTAAGAGATGACAGATCTAAATGTCAGGTAGCATTAAAATGGTTCAAAGAAAACATCTGTAATTATAAGAGATACATTTTCTTTTTATTCGCTTAGTGGAGGGTGGAGTCCAACTGGGTCCCCTTGTCACAGCAGCCACTGATTGACCTATTGTAGCCTGTCCCGGGTGATTATGATGATGAAGAATTTGGTGGAATGAAGATTGGTAGGGGAAACCGAAGTACTCGGAGAAAACCTGTCCCAGCGCCACTTTGTCCACTACAAATCCCACTTGACCAGACCCGGGATCGAACCCGGGCCGCCGCGGTGGGAAGCCAGCGACTAACCACTTGAGATATGGCGCGGACTAATAAGAGATACATACTGATATTTTCATTCTAATAACATATAGCTGCATTTTAGGGAGTGGTATTTACATGTAAACCTGCATTATATGATATATATGTTTTGCAGTCAATATGAAGTTTATGAGAAATACATTTTTCAGATAAACAGCTTTAGAACACCCCTACAAAAGGTCTGAGGAGACACTTTACCTAAGCTAGCAGCAGATGTGATGTATTTGTCACCAGTTGTGAAGCGAACAGGTTCTGTTAATGTGCTCGTGCCTAGATGATTTCCTGCTTTAATAACGCACTCATATGTTGACCCATCCTTCAAACCCATGATGCGCAGGCTTGTTGCTTTAGTGTCATTCTTTATGGCACTACGAGAACCTACTGGTCTCCAGAAAACTCTGAAAAGAAATTAAACACCATTAATTTTTATCACCTTTGGCTAATGCTACTGAAATACATCTCTCTCAGATATGAAGCAGCAGGTTATATGAACAATTAACAAATAACTGTTCTATCTATACAGAAGAACTTAAAGAAAATACATGTAATTTGTTCATCTCAGATCTTCTTTTTGTTAGGAAATCCCTAGGACTAAAGCTACTGCCTCATAACAGCTTGCTCACAGCTAAGAATTTGCAGACTTTTTGTAGTGATCGTGTAAGATTATGAGGTAATGGTACCAAGCCAACTTAAAAACACTCACTATTATATGTAGCTGTACATATGCTTAGTGTCTGAAGGGGAAATGTTCGTAACTGCATCATGTACTTACCTGTACATCTCAACAGTGTTGGGGTTCTTGACTGGTGGATCCCACCTCACACGCACAGAATGAGCATCAATCAGCTCAACATGGACATTCTGTGGTGGTCCAGGCAAGCGATCTGAAACCCAACACAAGGAACATAGTGACTTAATATTTTAACAATATAACCTTCATTTCAATGGACTGTAGACTTCTACAGCAAATATTACAAGGGGACAAACCCTATGTGAGTATTCCCCCAGAAAGTCACCAAAATGTGAGATACAGTTTAGAGTTAACCCAGAATTTATTTAAGATAAAAACCAACAGTTCTATTACTATGTTATTTTTTCTTCATTAGTTACAAACATTCTTAGTTTGTGTTTTTTGGTATCAAATTTTGTTAAACCCATCTTTCGTGAGAGGTTTTTCATTAATTTGCTGAGCCTGCCAAAGCAATAATTTTTAGAGTTCCTTCTGGGCCTTCTCAGCTTCCTTGGTGGTATTATGCATCAACCAAACAGCAGACCCCTACTTGATGTTATATCTTCCCGTGGCACGGACACTGGGATTGGACTTGGGAGAGATTACAGATTTACCAATCCACAAAAAAACAGAAACAATGCTACGAGGAGAAGGAAGAGGGAAGAAGATGATGATGATGAATTGTTTTGTAATTACCTCTACCCTCGTGGAAGCAGGACATGATCTGTTTTGTATATGACAATACACAGAACTTATTGTTGAGAAGAGGTTCACCCCGACACCAGTCAAGACAACGACGTGGCACTCCCCATTGTGCACAACAGCTGCGATGATCAGAGCCATCTGCAAATAGTGCATAAATTGTCAATCCATCTTGAATTCTGTAAACTTCATATTCAGGTTTCATATAAATCTGACTCCAAAAATGACCTTTGATATTTTATTTATTTGTCATAAAAATGTAATATTTACATAAAAGACCATATATTCTTATCATTACACTCAAACATCTTTAACAAACCGGACTGTCTTTCTCAGTAGAACTACAGTTATCTGCCTTGTTGTGGCCAAGATACATGAAGGTCTCATTCAATGACCAAACCGATCCTCCTTCTCAAGGGATAACTAAAACACTAATGCTGCACCTCAAAACCACCACTAAACCAAAGAATATAAGCACTAAATTTACATACGTTACCTAATTTTTATTTTTTTTTTTTTAATTCACTTAGTGGGGGGTGGAGTCCAACTGGGTCCACTCAGCACGTCGGCTACTGATTGACCTATTGCAGCCTGCCCCGGGTGATTATGATTTGAATTGAATTGAATTTCTTTGCATTCCATAAACCCTAAGCAGGTTAATACCTTTGGATATAGAACAAGTCAAAAGAATACCTACTGGTACAAGTAATTTATGTTGAACTAATATAGCTTAATTATACATTATTCTCTAATTACATTGAGGTATTCATCTACAGAGTAGAATGAATGAGCATGCAGATAATTCTTTAGCTCTGATTTAATGATGGAGAATTTGGTGGAATGAAGATTGGCAGGGGAAACCGAAGTACTTGGAGAAAACCCGCCCCAACGCCACTTTGTCCACCACAAACCCCACTTGACCAGACCCGGGATCGAACCCAGGCTGCCGCGGTGGGAAGCAAGCGACTAACCGCTTGAGCAATGGCGCGGCCTTTTACTGTGAACATACTAGAAAGAAAAACATGACTCCACAGACAAGCCCTTAATTCTTATCAGACCAAATATTGTTTGATGCCTGTAGCAGCGTAGACTAATTTAATTTTCGAAAAAGTTTACATGTGTTGTTGCTTTGTTTCAAAGTAAAGTGTAGCAGACAGACATATGACAATTCTCTTGTAAAACTATTCCCCAAATGAGATATGATTTCATTATTGCAGTGTTTGAGTGGTCCAGCTTCAGACTTAGTGTGGCCACTGTATTTATACACCCAGGAATAAGAAATCTCATTACCTGCTGCACACTTCATAAGTTTATCAAAGTCACTAATACATTCTGGTTTATCGATTACTGCATCAATATCAAGATAGAAGGAGCAGGCATCCATACATGCGGCTGTCACATTCTGCTCTATGCAACACTGTGTTACATTGTTTGTTGCAGCCTGCAACAGCAAACACATTTTATTAAAATTAAGTAAAATTTTTACAAAAACCTGTGTTTTACTTTATTCACTTATGGTTTATTCAATGATGCTCTCACTGGATCAAACTAAATAGCATAAAATGGTAGGATGACTAGTGAAGAAATTAACTGGAAAGAATTTTGAAGGGATAAGTCATGGCCAAATTTGAGGTACCATCCCAACATTGCCCAGAGGGGCTGAGGAAAGCCATAAGAAATCTAGAACCTCAACCTGTCATTTCAGTGGGTTATACAAGTATGGTCAGTGATAAATTGCACACATTTTGCATTTTTTTGCCAAAAACATGGAATGATCTCTCTACTGCTCTTCCTCACATCAAAGTTTCTGATGTTCAGAGCTTAAAACTGAAAATTACACCTCCCCCATCCCTAATAAATAAATAAATAAGATTTTCAAAGTGCAGAAGTAGGCATATTTTGTATACACATAAGCTCATGAAATAAATTATGGTATATGACACTTGCTAAGATTTTGGTTTTCTGAGTAATGGCACCATATAAGTTTGTAAGTAGTTATTAACTTACATCAACATGAAAACCAGAAATCTCATCCTGATATTTACTATTGCAGAAACAGTATGTATTATGAAGAAATAAGTGTGATATAAATATTCCTTCTGTCAGTGGTTAAAGGACTATATAAATTATAGTCTCTGTAGAATATCTGATTCCTCAAATTATTTACTCTTTTTTTACATCAACTTTCACTCCATTTTTACATACTTATAATCCTGTAGCTCAGAAACTTGTTATATCCACACCATCTCTTTAGCATTTAAGCTTATGAGTTACTGAGTTTATTGCCTTCAATGAAAAGTAAGATACAAGCATTCAGAACCACACAAAACTTTCTATAAAAAGCAGACTATGACACAATACTTACCACATTACGAATCCTCACAGATACTGGTCGTGTGCTACTTCCGAATGCATTCTCTGCATGACAAAAATAATCACCTTCATCAGCTTCACTTATTCTGTTGATTGTCAAATGCATTACATACTTAGCTTCCTCCTGAAAATGGGAAATGTTAACTAAGTGTTACTGTGTTCAATATGACAATGGAGTGTAAAGGACTGAGTATAAGAAATGATTTTAACCTTATACCCAAGACCATCGCCACCATTACAGACATGGACATTTTGAAGAAAGATGTTAATAGTGATTCAGTGTTGCCACAACATACTCAAACAATTTATCTTTATTACTATACTCAGAAGATCTTGTTTAGAAGATGTCTATTTTATTCTTGCAATTACTGTGTTCTGTTTCTGAATGTTTAATTAATTTTGATAGTTTCTTACCCTCACTTCTTTGCAGCTCCCCACACAGTAGACACTAAAAGCATGATTCTTCAGCACTGTAGTGCCCATGCATCCATACAGGCCACTTTTGGACCTGGTTTCTAGGATGCACATGAAGAGAACTGAGGAGAAGCATGGCATGAAGTAGCAGGGAAGTGGTTGTGGTTGCATTGTGGGACATGAGAAGGAGATACAATGTGACTAAGGCCCTGTACTAACCCATACATGCACACTACAATCCTTATCTCAGAAGACTAAACCAAATCCTGTGCATCTCCTGTTGACACAGACTTTGTCTAAAAACGTAGAGAGTACTGGTAACAATAAATGTATTGTCATAATTCTGGGCTCTTCTTGACACCATATTTTCTGCATTGATCTCTTGTATTTGGTTGCTAACTAGAATGTTACACCCAACTGCTAAAATCCAAGTAATCTCCTTTGTTCATTCCAAGCTAATAGGGTTACATCAGATTATATGCATTTCAATCTCAACATTTCAAAATTCTTACCACAGAGTAACAATGCTGATGTTGAACTGAGTTCCTAGGAAAAATTTCCTTCTTCAAATTTCAGTTTTTCATACCTTTATTTTATGCATTTGTAAATGATTCATTTTGTTTATTCCCTCTGATCTTATATGTGAAAGCCAAATCTTAACTGTTATTTGGGTAGGACAGAAACTACCACATGCTTAAAAAGACCTTTAGTTTTCCGAGTAGTACTAAAAGAGAAAAAAATATTATCAAGGAATGTGTATTTAATTTTCATTAAAGGACCACTTTTTTGTTGATGAATATGTTACTATGAAAATAACACTCCTTTGGCTAATACTCTGCAGATTGTGAGAAAGGACCTGTGACTCAGTACCAGCCTAGATGTAGGTCACTCCAAATATATTTACACAGATGTGTGATGCTTGCACCACCCACTGGCACACAAAATCAAACATTTCAGCTCTGATAGACAAAATGAAACTGATATGTGAAATATGAAAAAAAAAAAATCAAATTATCATTGCTAAATCCTCACTAAAGGTTACTGCCTATGCCCATCATGACATTAAAGGACCATCCAGGAAACTGGAGAAGAGATCAATGACAAAAGAAAGTAGACCAAAAACCCAAAGTATAGTGAACTGCAAATTGAACTGCCAGAATAAAGAAGATGGAAACATTAACATTTAACTGAAATGTATATAAAAATAAAATCATTATTGAGGTTACTCAAGGACCAGAAAGCTTGAATTTATAATGTTCTATGCTCTTATGTAAGAGTGTACATTGAATAAACGTTAAATGCATCTGTACAAGAGTTTCTAAGGAACCTCAAATAGGAGAAACCAACAGTCAAACATCAACAAAGATTCTACAGAAAGTAACCATGATGTTGACTCACAAAACACAATTCAATATCAGTAATTATAACTATCATCAACCCATCTTCATGCAAGCCAGTGAAACAATTAAACATCCAGAGAACTCCTATGAAGGAGATAAGTGATTATCAGCAACCTATGAGAATACCCTTTTAATAGGAACCCTTCAGGTTCCAGTACTTCAGAATCACCCTCCAGATGGCTGCTGTGAGGCTCCTGTATGAATGCTTGGGATGAAAATGTCCTTTGACAAAATTTTTACCAATTAATACTTTTCATTGAAAATTTGATTTTAAGGTTGAATGTGATATGCTGACATGATATAGATATTCATGCATACAGACTCCGCCATGTTATTCCTTGACGAACATTCAGACCGAAACATCCCATGATGAAATTTTGACCAATGAGTAATTTTAATGGAAAATTAATTAAATTTGAATGTTACACAGTAATATGATATGGATATTCATGTCTATAGATTCCATCATGTGATTATTTTATAAACATTCAGAAAAAATGTCCCTGGATAAAATTTCAGACCAATGCATCATTTTCATGGGAAATATGTCACAACATAGTACATTCTCCCCCCAAACAGCATTTATGGTGAAAATTATACTTTAGTCGAAATTTTATCAATGGACAGTGTCATTCAGTTTTTATGAAGGAATCACATGATGAAATCCACAGGTGCAAATTTCATGTCAACCCGCAAGCACAGGTCATTCCCAGCAACTCACTGTGATGAGGATAATTGCTGTATCTACTGATATGCAGCCAATGAAACATGTGAAAAAGCTAAAGAGTGGACACTAACAGGACTGCTATGTGTTAGTCCTTACATCTTTTGCTGGCTGAACATTGATATCATATTTGCCACCCTGGATTACTGGGACCCGGCCACTGTGGTCACGCCAGAACATCATCTTGGGTTCAGGATAAGCATCCACTGCACATTCCAACACAACAGAATCCCCTTGGGCTGCCATTGTAATGCCAGATGCTGTGATGTGTGGATGGTCTGAAGAAGAAACACTTCATCACCTCCCATTCTCTGCTCACTAGTTTGTTGTTATCAAATTTCAGCTTCTGATGTTATAGTACTGTTCTCATGCACAATACTATTAACAGTATGCTTCTAGTCAAACCTATTAATTAAATTTACAGCTCCCAAAATGTTTTCTGTTGCTGACAACCTCTGATGTGATAGAAATGTCATTGCATCCTTTCATTATTGGTTATCAAAATTCAATTCATAAGTATACTTTTATTGATTTTTGGCTTTCATGGTGGTTCATTGTTAATGTTGACCCTGCTTATCAGGATTTGTGCTATTAAAAGTTGGCACTGCTGACGTTTCACAGGAACATGCAGCATCAATTTTCAGAGTTGAAGTGCTCTCTGACCTTCAAAATGGAGGCAGCTTGGCAGCATTTTTTTATTTTCATTTCTTTGTTCTTTTGTTTCTGTCATTGACAGCACTCCCCACTTCAACATGGTGCAGATACTTAAGAGCAGATTCAACAATAAATTTGTTTTTTCTTAAATCACTACTGGAATTTCAAACATTCTTTAATTAAAGTTTATAATAGTCTTCCAAGCAATAAAAAAATTTCTTCATTTACATTCATTTCATAATATAGAAGAATTTTTTAATTATAGGGATAAAATATCTCAATAATTGATTTTATCTGGATATATATATATATATACGAAGTGTACATTTTAGATTTTTATATTTATATTGCTATATTACCACGCTGTTATGATGTTAATTGAAAAATTGTAAAGATATGTTTTATTTTCTGATACACTAAAAATTCCATCCTTACGTGATCAGTACATAAGTTGAATGATCATGTATTTATAACATCCTCATTCAAATTGTATATGGAACTATAGATTAAATTATCAGGCATTGAAAAGTGACTTGTAAATTTTATATTTACATTATATCTTTCATTACAAATTTATAATGAATACATACTTGTTTATATTATATATTGTTTCTGTTATATTGGACTATTGTCTTTATCCTGGGTCCTAAGATTTTGTAATGGATTTGTGGCATGTAAATAAATGAAATGGAAATGAAAATGGAAAACAAAACAATTGAAAATTAACTTATAATAAATAATTTCAAAATAGAAGAAACAACTGACATCTGTAAGGAACAAGAAAAGTAGAAGAGTCTAGTCATCTACCCTGAAGACGGATGCGTCATGATCCTCTGAATTGTTTGCACTTATCTAATAAACTGCACAGCATCACAGCCAGAGACTGTAATCTTACTTTTAAACCGGTGTTTCAACACTCCAGTCTCCAACAGGTTAATATGGACATGTATGAAGGGGGACACAAAAATAACCGGAAACAACCTGTTGCGCGCGCATGCTTTGTAGTTACGAGTTGTGCTGCTAGGTGGTGTTAGCTGGGGGTCTCCCGCGACTGTTAGTGAGCTGGCGTCAGTCTGAGTTAAGTGGTTTGTCTGTGGTACTCTGTTGTGTGCGTTCCTGTTTCAACCCTTTGGCAATTAGTGAGATGGCCGACCAGAAAGAACAAAGAGTGTGCGTGAAAATTTGCTTTCTGTTAGGGAAAACTGCACTTCACTCTTCAAGTCGCGGCAAACATTCACGCGGTTTTCTCTTTGGTCATCTCCGAGCAAGCGAGGAACAAATTTTGCAGACACCTGTCTCATGCGCAAACCTTCGGTTAAAATTCGCTGGACCGTGCTCCATGAGATGTTCGTTTCCTCAGAAAGTTGGTCAATGGTCTTTCGACGATCTTCATCAATTGCACGCACACTCTTTGTTCCTTCTGGTCGGCCATCTCACTAATCGCCAAAGGGTTGAAACAGGAACGCCACAACAGAGCACCACAGACAAACCACTTAACTCAGACTGACGCCAGCTCACTAACAGTCGCGGGAGACCCCCAGCTAACACCACCTAGCAGCACAACTCGTAACTACAAAGCATGCGCGCGCAACAGGTCGTTTCCGGTTATTTTTGGGTCCCCCCTCGTGTATGAATATTACTTCTGGAATTATGAAACTATACATGTACTGGCAATTTGCTTCAGAACACAGAACTCAAAATAAACGAAATCTATTGCAGGATTAAAAAGAGGGTTTGTTATAGGTTTCACCAGAGAAATATAACTTTAATTTTTTAATAAACTGAAGGTTAACTTTGGCAAGAGAAAATCAAACACCACGTTCTGGTTTGTCACATCTGGGTACCAGCACCACATTCTAGGGAAAAAAAAACACACTGTGTATGTTTATATAAGTTCATGAAAATTGAGACAACTTAACTGATTAATGTGACTAACCACCCAAAAAGCAATTGAACAGGAACTTGTAATATTCTCCAATAACAATTAGATCAGATTAACCCTTTCAGGACTAACCTCAAGTATACATGTACGAGTATATCTATAGTATCCACTGGACCAACCTCAAATATACTCATTTCCAGTTCTTTCAGTCTTTTCCTTCACATCAATGCTTAGCATTTGAATTTTCACACCTGTTCAAAGAATGTAAGTTGAAGAGGTAGTAAACCTTCTTTGCTGGCAAAATTGATAGGACAGCAGACACAATGGTAGTGACTCATATGTACTTCTTACTGATTTAAATGTGGTCTGCAGAGTATATCAGAGGATAAAGAATGTGGAGGCATAATGATTAAACAAGTGAACTTGGCAAATGATTAAAATGTTCATTTACCATTACCATGCATAATATTTAAAGAAGTGACACATTTTCTACTTGAACAGAACCATTTACTACTCACGGCTGATAGTGATTTTTCTTGTAGCTTGCATAGGAGTTCCATAACCATTGTCAGCATAGCAAGAAATCTGATCCATATCTCTAGTGACATTATGAATAACAGTCACCATGTGACGAGTTGTCTCCTGGCGCACAAGTCGTCCTGATATGTATAGAGAAATTGTTGGCATTGGTGTTCCCATGGCAATGCAGAGGATGGTCATGCTGCTGCCTTCCATCACCAAATTGATAGGGTGGACTGTAGGAGGCTACAACATTCATACTTGTACTTCAGATTAAGCTTCAAAATCTGGTACACAGGAAGCCAAAATGTCAGCATATTATAATCAGTACAGATGAAATACACCTCAAGTTTCCTGACAGAGCTGTGTTATTAAACTGACACATACAATGGATATTTTTAAACTTCTTGGTTTGATTAGAGAAACAGAACATGACAGAAGCACAGCCAATATCTATACAGTGACGTACCACAGAAGACGAGAGTTCTTCATGAACGGATGATGACATGGGACAACTGTCCTGCATGACAGTTACAGGTTAAATAAAACAGAAAAATATGTTTCCAAACAGAATAACTTCCTTGATGGGGAAGCCATCAAACTGAAGCAATGAAAATGATAAAGGTTTTAACTTGAGTCTTACCTCCACAAATGCTGGGTATGCAGGATCAGTCCATGCAATTAAGGTTTCTGAAGGTAAGCTTGGTCCCTTTTCAGAAATGGCAGTAACATACACAATATATTGGGTGTTCGGGTTGAGCCCTTCAATTGTATGTGATGTTACACTTGTGGTGACTATGTGATAATCATCATCAGCTGTGGACTTGTGGTGCAATCTGAAAAGAGGAATTTTAGACTCTAACTTCTGGTACAAAACCTCAGTCTTTTGTTTGAGCACTAAGTGATAAAAAAACAAATATTAGTGCATCAATTATCTTAGCATCCTTAGTCTTGACTTGTGTGTCAAAATGTGGACACAATAGTGCAGACATTTCAATGTGCCACAGTCTTTTTTTCTTATTTAACTGGTTGTCATGTATAACATGTGTTTATTATAACATGGTATGATAACCAGCAATTGAAGTGATAAAAGTTTAAAAGAATACAAAGGGTGTGAATGGTTGTAACAAACAGCAATTACAATCTGAATACATCTGCTGTCATGTGGACTTAAATGGGTACCTGTTCCCCATGACAAGTGCTTTTCTATGTAGAAAGTTATGTTCTAAAGCCAACCTTATTTTTCTTTGAACGTAATAAAGCCAAGTCATGCAATGACATGATATCTGCAAACTTGTTATCTGTATAGAATGTAGCATCAACAGAGTGCAGCAATTATTTGAAGTAATTATCTTATAAATTATGAACATGTAATATGAATTTGTTTCTCTTCTGGGTAAAAAATAAAGCCTTGTTCACATTTAAATTGATAATAAGACCAATATGTCAGCTCTTCATCTGTACTGTGAAAATTGCATTGCAATCCACTACTATTTAACAAAGAAAATATAAACTACGAAGGGGAAATGTGAGGAAACACCCAACAACTTGCTTGTGAAGGCAGAAAGCATAATCATATTAATATCCTGTGACATGTCTGGCAGCAATTATGTTAATGATTGATTTTACTATATATTAATAGAGTTGTGCAGAAAATGTTACTTGTATGACAGCTGCTCAGCAGGCTGGCTGAACTCTGGTGGCTGCCAAGTTATGGTAACCCATGTTGCACTGTGACTAGAAACAGCTAGTGAATGTGGCGGTGATGTCACTCCTGGGATACCCTTCTCATCTAGTTCTGTGAACATTCAAGATTATCAGCAGTTACAAATGTAGAACTGGTAAACTCTGAGGCATATTTTTGGTGTTACACCATCTAAACCTTAACTAAGAGATGGCTGTGACAAGTATGAAAGAAAACAATATATGATTAAGAGACTAGAACAATGCAGATAACATAGTAGTGTAATGGCTTTGAGCATAATTTGGAAATGACCTATGTGAAGGTCAGAGGAGGAGAGAGGAGTAAATAGGAATATAAGAGACAAATAAAGTAGAAGAGAACTTAGAGGGATAAGAGAATAATGGAGACATTTTTACAGTCAACTCATATAATAATAAAAATGATAAAAGTGAAAAGCTTGTTAACCTGACATCATTTTCTATAAAACAAAATTTTTCACATGTACATTTCACTTGTTATTAAATATATGATAAACTATGGTTATAGATATTGGTAGTTTTAGCAATAGAATGGTTAAGGAGTAATTAATATATATTTTTTTTCCTTGGCACTACAGCCCCAGTGGGCCTAGGCCTACCTCCATGAACTTCTCCGTTCACTTCAGTTTTTCTAGATCTTACACATACGGTAGGACTCCTTGGGCAAGTGATCAGCTCATCGCAAGACCTCTACCTGTACACAAACACAGAAAAACGGACACACACAAACTAAACATCCATGCCCTGAGTGGGATTCGAACCCACGATCCTGGCTTCCGAGCGAGTGAAGACAGTGCATGCCTTAGACCGCTCGGCTACCATGACTGGCGTAATTAACATTAACAAGCACAATTTTGTGATACCGCATTGTCTTACTCTGGAGTATGCTATGCTTAATTTTGTGTGCTGATAATTGTATACCTGTATGGGTAACATTGATAATAAGTACTGAAGAAGGCAGAGATGTCCCATGTCTGTTGCGTGACACCACAAAGAAATTGTACATGGTCCCCATCTCAAGGCCGGAAATTTCAGCTTTTGTGTCATTCACGATCAGTTGCTGGTCAATGAAATGAGAAAATTAAGAAAACTGTTAACAAATATTTGATTTACATACTAGCATATTACAGTAACTTACATGAATACTTGATACTAGGCTTGAGTTGAGTTTTATATTGTCACAGTCAGAAATTTACTTCGAACATTACATTCAAACTCAACTACATGTGTGATAAGTCTGCGCTTTCCTAGATGGTATGCAGTAAGTACTTACATGTCTAAGCTTCTGGACAGTCTCATGCATAGAAGTGTTGTCCAATTGCTGGTAGTGGACCTCATATTCAGTAACATTACTGCCATCTGTTGGAGCCTCCCACTGTAGTGTGACACTTGTGTTAGTTACAGCTGTAGCATGAAGCTCCGAAACAGGACCAGGAAGCAAACCCGTTCCTGGAATATATACTAACATTAACATTAACTCTGCATACAAAATACCAGGAAAAAATCATTTATTATCATCATGCATTGATGTGTCTGTCAGGTTGGTTCACATTATGAAAAATCCCTTTTCATCTTCTATTATTATTCCATAATTCCTTCTCTCATTAATTCTTTTCATACTCTGTTTAGTATCTCTTCTCTCAGCTGGTCTCTCCACCTAGTCTTTGACTCAACAATGGCCATCTGACATCTTCGTTTTCAGGTCTGAGAGGAACTGTATAATCATCCATGTGTAACACATGTCTGCACCACATCCCGAAATCCAACTTTTATGTCTTCATTGTGGAAGGTAGGGTCAATGTCTGAAGTAGGGAACTATCTGATAGGGTGAAGCAGAGTGGGAAAATAATTTCCCATACAGCCATGGTAGCTTGGAAACCTGTAAGAGGCCCTAAAAATTACTGCTAATGGTGATGTGATGAGGTTGTAATTAATTTAGAAAACCAACTGATTTCAAGATTATAAAATTCCTCAGAAGGAATCACATTAGCAAAAGTTATCTCATATTCAGTTTAAATATTTAAATATATTGATTTGTTTATTATAGTCACTGGTAACACTGCAACATGTTCTTCAATAAAATTAATTTGTCTTCATGAACCTGTAGGTAATAGTGGTGCCTTTATTCAGCCAGTATGCACACTGAAAAACAATCGATGCATACAGGCAAATGTGTCAAAAATCAAAACTCACATATCTGCTTCTGCATTTTGTGTTTTGATCCTGAGCCTAAAACTGAGTATCAGTGTACCAGCTGGGTAATAATAATTAAAAAATGGCACAAGAAATGTAACTCTACAATTTGAAATGGAAAAATGATCACAAATTTTGTACTTTCAGTGTGGCTGATCATTAGTGTTCACAGAGCTTTGAATCTGTTAAGAATCAATCAGATCCTTATGTATTCCTAATTTCTGTCAATGTCATGAACACATTATTTGCAAGATGATGTTTCAAAACTTCCAATCTTTTATCACCATAAAGAAAAGTTATTATAACTATCAGATATTCAAAGTGTATAACAGACAGATGATGACTGCAATGATATAGAACAGAAAGGTAGAACATGTAAGATGGAGGCAGCAGGTTCCTGCAAAACATTCATTCCTATCTACCAAACTACACAGTGTCATGTTTGAGAAGACCACAATATTAATATTTGTGCCATAAGATCCATAAATTTCATATGAAGCGGTGACTTTGCATTTGGCAATTCCAGAACATATATGTTACATTTTACTGACGTTGAGGCAAAATAAGTATAAACTTCTTGAGGCACTTTGTTACACAAATTTGGAGTTAGGTCAAATAAATATTAAGGCATGTAACACAATAACACAGCCATAATCACAAACCCTAATATAATTGATTTCCTCTAACTGCAAAACTTTTTCTTCTGTATTTTCAGAGCCTTTATGTCAAATACAATCCTCTCCCACAGGCACAGCAGAATGTCAGAGAAGCTACCCTATGATGTAGCATGTTTAAAACTTTAAATTGCTGTAATCCAAATTGTCATAAAGTCTAACATTTACAGGACATAATGGGCAAGCTACACCCTAACCTACTCCACACACAGTGCTGGTCCATTTGTAACAATCAGCCTATGCTGATCGGTTTGTAACAATTTCTGTCATTATTCAATGCAGACCATTTTGTAAAAATCACTGCCTTATCGTTGAATACTAATGAGTTCATAACAATCACTGTGTCATAAAATTCTGATCAGTTTATAAAAATCACTGTGTCATCAAAAAATATACTTCTTCTATATATCCATAAGCCTCACATATAAATGCAAACTGGGCTAGAGAACAGTAGATTACTATTGATCATATTTACCTTCTTCGAAACACTGGACAATGTTCCCAATGAAAGGGATGCAAGAAGTAGTTGTTGCAATGAGGGAGTCCAAAATTACACCAGAGCAGACAGAGAGACAGGTATTGGGCACACCACGGCGGGCACAGCAGCTACCATGATTCCTTCCACCTGCTCCACATCGTAGCAATTTGTGAAGTTCACCTCCACACACACCTGCCAGAGCTTTAATGTCTGACATGTTGACATTGTAAGAACATAGGGGCAGGCACACATCACTCAGGTCTGCTTCCACACAGCATGCTGTCACATTATAAAAACTGGCTTCCTCAATCTTCTCTTCCACCACCTGAAAATGAGTCAAGAACTTGTCTTACCATTTCGTATACTCAGTGTTCTTTTTTAATTTAAGAGAAACTACCCATTTATTCTTTTCTCTTCACCCACCCAACCACAAATATAGTTCTCTCTTCCTCCCCCTCCCCAAAACATTCATCTGTTCTTCCTTCCATTCTTCTTTCATCCTTGCTATCCACCTTTATATCTGCTAATCAGTCTATCTGGCTGGCTAGCCTTCTGTTCACCCACAAAACCATACAGTCTGTCTCTCTCTCCAGCCATCTTTTTTTCTCTTTCATTAGTCTTTCTTCCCTTCTCCACTTCACCATCCTTTCTATCCATCCACTGTCCCCACATTTACCCATTCAGCACTTTGCTAATAATTTACAAAGCTGAAAAGCATATATTATAAAAATTTTACTGAATGTTTATGGAAATGGTAAAACTTTAAAATCGTATCAGTTGTAACACTAGTTTAAAATAACAGATATTCATATGAAATATAATTTTTGCATATTTTCCTTATTTTTTAAAAAAGAAAGTAAGCTATGTGATCTTCATGCTGTCTGTGTGTCTATATATGTATGCTCTTATCGTTCCTAGGCAACGGCTCAGTAATAATCCCCTTAACGTTGCTAGGCAACAGCTCGGTAAAAATATTACCGCAGTAATGGATACATATGCAAAAATAGAAGAAAAAAATATTATATACAAAATTACATGCATACCTTTCAGTGTAGACACCCCTGGAATTGAGGCATTTGTCATATTGGGGAATAAGTTTGTGTATGCATGTGTCAAAGTAGTCTGGCACCTGTGATCTCAACCAGTTCTTCAGGTTGGTAAACAGATGATAGTCACTCAGAGTGAGATCGGGGCTGTAAGGAGGGTGGTCAAACAACTCCCTGTTGAAATGCTCCAGCAGTGCTTGAGTGCAAGTAGCTGTATTCATGTGCGCATTGTCATGGAGGAACATTTCAATGGATATCAGCATTCCATGCCTTGTATTCTGAATGGTTCTTTAGTGTTCATAATACACTTCTGAGGTTATTGTGGTCCCTTGTTGCATGAGATCCACCATTAGCACTTTTTTCTTGTTCCGGAAAACAGTTGCTATCAGCTTTCTGGCAGATAGACATTTGTTTAAACTTTTTCAGCTCGTCTGCTGAATGTGTGTGCATGCACTGCTTTGATTGCTCCTTGGTGTCAACATTCACAAATGAAATTCTGGTTTCATCACCTGTTACATGTATGATGTTACTGATCGCCATCTTTGTGGCATTGTTCTAAAAAAGTCAAAGCCATAGCCATTCTCTGCATTTCGCATGCACATGTGAGCATTTTCAGAACCCATCTTGAATACAAATTTTGATGATAGCCTAGCCTAACTGTGATAATCTCGTAGAAATTTGTGAAAATTCACACAGAATTTCTGAAGTTCTGAAACGCCGTTTTTCACAGATTATTTGGTCAACACTTTGAAAAAGATCAACACTCACTACAGATGGCTGACCACTTCACTCTTCATTGTGAACATTTGTTTGCCTACCCATCTCTGAACATTCCACACCACTGTCTTATAGTTCATTCATTACATTTTGGCTGTAAACCACAGTGCATGATTCACAATGGATTTCTGCAGTACACATGTTTTTAGTGTGAAGAAAGTGGATAACAGCGGTGCAAATTTCTCAGCTGGACATATCCTAACTCACTCTGTAGAGACAGGAGCACACTGGTTGACCAGTTATGTGATGGCATACAAGGTAATGCGTCATGTGATGTTACCTCACATGTGCAAGCTCTCCCCTGCTCCTAAATTAGCTGCCTAAATTAAATGGAAGTTACTTTCTGAATAGCCTTTGTACTATTATAATATCATTTGCAATTACAGAAGAAATTAAAAATGGGTATGTTTCAACTTTGTTAGTATAAAATTCCTCACCTTACTCTCGGTTCTGAAGACCACTCTTGTTGAAGGCTCTCCTACTCCATGGCTGTTGACAGCTTCAACAAATATCTCATAGTCAGTGTTGCTGGAGAGGTGCTCAAGAATGAATGGAGAATGAACCTTGGAAATGGTGTGGTAATCATTGTCATAAGTGGCCATTTTACGATAACGAATGTTGTAATACTGCACAGTGTCAGCCAGCGTATTTGGACTGTCCCAACTGATAATTGCGAACTCAACATCAATATGGGAGACATGAACTCTTGTGGGGGCACTTGGTAACACACCATACCCTTGCAGCAAACAGTTAGTGTAGTCACTCATGTACTTCAAACATCTACAACAGAAAATGCAATTTCATTGTGACTTATCCATAAATTTCTATTATTAGTGTTAAGCTCTAACTCTAAGCAAGTGGTTGCAAATTAAATTTACTTAACTGGGAGTTGTAGGTTGAAGAAAAAAAAAAGAATTTGTGATCACTGGCATGTCTTGCAATATTCCATAGATGTCTTGTAAGAAGTGTTTACTGTATACTGAATTATGCTATTTTAGATCATCTTGTACGTACTCAAGATGTTATTTAAATTCATAGATGCATAAATTTTATCCAAAAAATGTAGACATACTTTATAAAAATTCATGTCAACCTTGATCACATTTGATTGCTTGTAGACAATACCAAGATGAACAAATAAGTCAGTTAAGCATACTGCATACTTAAAGTAGCTGAAGTCAAGCTGAGTGATGTTTCCCGTGCAGAGTTCCTGACAAAGGTCGGGCAGGCCACGAGCTCGGCAGCATGCTGTGTGGTCCACACCATTGGTGAGACATGAGAATGTGGTTGTAGCCCATGGAGCACAGATCATGAGATCTGTCACCTCAGCAATACCTGACAAGTATGGATCACACAGCTTCTCCACACACCTTGCAACAAAAAATCAGAAGTCATTACAAGTGTTACAGCAAGAAGTCGATTAAGAAAACTAGAAATCTGGTGTTGTTCAACAGCACAAACAGAAGATACTTTTGGTGGGTTCATGATACATCTGATCTCCTTACACTGCTGGTGATTATGATATGCTTACTGCTTCCATTTATAGTCTATTAAACTACTCTGTCTCTGTCTGCCTTGTTAATTTTGAAAGGGTCTTTTTTCTGGATTGGGAACATCTATGTATAAGGCAAACTGTGCTGTGTTGATGGCAGGACGATAATGAAGATAGCAAGCAAAGAGGACCCACAATTTAACATGTGCTCTGAATGAGGTGGGGACCTAGTATTGCTTTCCTCCACAAAGTTTCACTTTGGTCACAGAGGGTGAAGGGAAAGATGTATGGAAAAGTCTGTACTCTGGTCTCAGACTTGAGATGTTTGGCTCACATCTTCTCTCTCCATCTGTCATTAAATTTCTGGTTTTATATTTTAATATTAAACATTTATGTTCTCCTAAGGTGGAAGCATTTTGCCTATTCTCACTGGTGATTCATCTTCAGAAAAGAATACAGTCTAATTCGACATTTTACATCATATAGCCTTGAATTTATTATCATAGTGACAGTAGGATGTTGAAAAGAATATAATATTCTTGAAGCAGAAATCCTCAACAAATTGTTTCCTTACACTGGCCACAGTGCATAATGTATTGACATGATAAGTCTTACCATTCTAGTGGGAGTGTATAGCACACTCATTACATTTTCTATAAACGGGCAACCACAATCTTGCATGAACCTGATTAATCCCTTGCAGCATATTTTGAAAGGCATACAGCTTGGTTTTAGCATCACATTTCAAAGATTAAGAGGTCAAGACTCTGGAAAAGGTGAAAGACTCTGAGTTATGGCATGCTCTTTGGGCTTTCTACTTGTCCACATGTCATGCTCTGTACTCGGACACAAGTCAGTACTGCTGATTAGCTGAAGCTAGCAAAACTGCTTTTGCTTAAAGTCAAACAATGACGTACTAAATACTAAGTTTCAAGTTTCAGTTCTAGGAAAAAAGTGAGTGCCATGATTGATAGTGCTGATCACATATGTTTTTACTCTTCTATAATCTAATATACCGAGAAATGTTACTTTCATGTTTCCTATTTCCTAGTGGATGTAATAGTGAATATGCAAAGAGACAATGAATTTTGCCCTATACTGTTGCCAATATGTACAGCAGCCACAGCTGAGATGTGTAGGTATCTATTCCTTATTAATTACATGAACATACATTAATTTTTTAATCTGTTATTCCTTCTTTAAACTTGCAGGAATTATATGTTATGATACTAAAAGGGAAAGCAACCATATTCCTAGCAAAGAGGAGTTTTTGCTTCTTCTCAGTAATTGAATTACAAGTAAATGATTACAGCTATTGACTTTCAAGAAATGCTATATCTATATGTATAAGATACATCATTTATTGAAGCACTCACGTTGTATGAGAGATGCCCTTGTTGATGCAGCACGTTTTGATGTCAGGAAGCCCTGGAGCCTGTGCAACAGCAGTAGGCTTCATTTTTCCAGATGTCAGGGTTAGAGTTCGGACAGAATATGATGGTAAACTGCTTCCATGGATGTTAAGTGCAGTCACAGACAACTCATACATAGTATATGGTTTCAGGTCATTCACTATGGTGCTGTTATATGTTCCTGGAACCTGGTGAAGAAATAACAAATATATAATTAAACCTAATACACAAACTGAAGTTACAAGATGAGTGATTCAATGCATTGATATGGGCTTTGGATTTTTCTTGCAGTATGCACTGTAGCTACTTATTAAATGCTGTAACACTGAACACTTTACCTCAGTTGCATCATAATAATGAGCTTATCACACACTTTAATCTCTGACATGCATTTATATTAACGTATCACACACCATTAAGTCTAATTTATTTTGTTAACACCTTTCAATCTCACAATAATGATTATAAAGATGTGCATTTCTTCAGAAAGTTGGCAAAGATCTATCAAAACTGCAATGTGTCGCAATCCAGATGAGAGTAATCATCATATTTTCATTGAATTTTTAATTTATTCAACCCTGTTCAGTATTGGACTAGAACATTATCTTCCAAATGGCATACAAAAAACTCCTCTCAAGTCCATTTATTTTTGCATATTAAATGCTACTGGGTTAAAGTTAAATTTACTTCTTAATTTCAGTTTCCAAACTTGGTCCAATACTGAACCCTAATGAAAGTAAGAATCTACCAGAGATTCGTATTAAGCACCCACTGCTCATGTAACAGCAGGGATATAATACCACTACAGCTGCTTTCCCCATTAGGCAACCTGTATTGCCTTTAATAATACGATCTAAGAACAATTTCTGGATGAGATGTATACTGAAGATCTATTATTATTTTTTCTTGTTTTTGGTTTTCAATATTTGATAAGTGTCAGAACATGCATGAAAGTTAAATTAATATATTTTGATCAATTTTTACTATAATTAATATATTATAATTTTATACTTAACCTTGTTTTAATGACAAAACACCATACTCACAATACGTCATAAGTGATACAAGGTTGGCAGAGCTTTCTGATTCTACAGGGGCGGGGGCCATAGCGTAACACATTTCATTTTCCAAAAGATGTCTCTATCAAAAGTCTTATAATTAACAACCTACCTTTATCCTGGTGTTTTTATCACCAAGTGGATTCATTGAGCTGGTTGGGGGCCTCATGCTAGTGTTGGTGAGCCCTGCAGCGGCCAGAGCGTAACTGTCAGCAGCATCAGAATAGCTGTCATCAGGTAGTTCTGTGTTCTCATCAAATGATCTCAGCATAGTCACATTCACAATATACTCTGAGACAGTCTCTGGATTCTGTGATGGTGGGGTCCATGACACTTTCAGTGATTTCTCAGTCAGTGCTTCCACTTCTACGTTTTCAGGTGAACTTGGAAGAATTTCTGCAAGAAAAATCATTCAAAATTAATGTTAGTTAATGGTACTTCCTTATAACTCACTCACTTACTCACTCTTTTACTAAGTCAAGATAATATAACCATTACAACTGATGAGGATAATTTCCATTTTATACAGATAAATGAACAAAAAGTCTTCAAAGGAAGAAACATTACTACCTATCAGGTTGATGAAGCTGCTATGTAGGTAACACCACTGTATAATTGCACTCATCCAAATTGTGTCATTGTTATCATTGCATGTTGTACTATTCTCAGAAATTAGGTTAAATTAATTCTAAGTGTCTAGTGCTTAAGACTGGATTTGAACTACTGTTTATAGCCTGTTGATATTTGTGAATAATCATTCAAGTTGACCCTAATATAAGCCAGATCACTGACTGTAATTGTGTAGTTATTAAAAATCCTCCATAGGTGAAATATCCTCAATTATAATATCACCTAGAAATGCTCCTATTCCAATTGAGAATCCTTGTGGCTTTCAACGGTATTCCCTGGAAAATCCAGGAATGATTATAATTATTATAATCATCTTCAAATGATTTTTGTAGCAGGAAGGGTTGTCTTATGACAAGTCTTCCTTGTTCCTCTCTATCCTCCCATAAGCATTCTTCTTCCCTTCTCTACTTTCTTTTGTAGCTATTCGCTCAATTAGTCTCTCCTACCAGATAAGCCAGCACCTTAAATTACACCAAACCTGCTTCCATCTTAACCCTTCCCAATTTATCCTTCTTAATTCTCCTGTCTTTCAGCACTATAGAAAACACAGAGCTGATAGTGTTAGAGATTAAAGTATTAAATATAACCCAGCAACCAAACAATCAATTATCATAAAATCAATACAAAGTCCGTCGAGTGTAACAATGTTTTTTAGGTCACTTCTTTCTCACTCTTGCCTTACATGTTTCGGTTTTAGTAAAACCATCTTCAGAGGCACATGGTACTAACAAGAAAACACTGGCGTTGTTTAACTGTACACAGTATATATGCTGTGTGGGCACTGCTACAAATGTCGATGTGTGAAAAAGAAGTGACCTAAAAAACATTGTTACACTCAACGGACTTTGTATTGATTTTATGTATAATAGTGTAACGGACCAAAATGAAACAATTCAAAACAATCAATTATCAGTTAATACAGTGATGTGTCAAGGGAGCACATGAGTCTAACCTATGCCCTCCACTATGCAGGCAAGTGTCTCTTCAGTATATGCTGAACACGAGAAGTGGGTCTTAATGTTGTCAGTGATCACAGTGTACTCTCCACGACAAACATCTTGGCAGATATCAGGCACTCCTTCTTGGATACAGCATGGTACATGGTTCCTGCCATCTGCATCAACATGAAAGTGTTTCAGAATGTGGAATGATGTAATTCACACTTATTATTCATAATAGTCATGAAGAATTCACTTTATAAAACATGTGGTCATTCATTTCTGATATTTCCATATTTACTAAAAGTATGAGTATACAAAGAATCACTCACGTTTTCTGCAAGAAGTTACACTACTCTGGCTTATGAAATCAGACATTCTCAATCAAAATGACTAAAAATACCATTCTTATAAAATCAGAAAACCACACTAAACTATTATTTTTGCATTTTCCTCTCAAATATTCAGAAGCTAAAAATACAGTCGCAGTCTGGGCAAATGTTTCATGCCGAGAAAATGGACATTTTAACTGGGAGACTCAAACTGTACACAAAGGAACACAGAAATGTAACCACATTTATATAAAATTGTGTTCTTCTGGAATGTGAAGCTGCATCATTTGATAGATAGATAACAAGTTGTCATAAAAACGAAATGACTCAGAAAATACATTAAGTCCATAATGTTCACATTCTCTGTTGTGAGAAAATTTAATTTAATTGGAATCCACACTATACTTTTCTTTATTTCATTTAATTTGATTTTTTTTCACATAAGCGACTTTCTTACAAACATCGTCCTTACCCATTTCAAAATCATTCTGAAACAAGCAGCATTATAATTCCATTTCAATATTATTAAAGTATCAAAATATATGGAAATTTTCACAATCAGAAGAAGTCAGAATTTACAGGGTGGACACAAAAGTTAAACTCTATATTACACGAGTAGGTGTGCTAAGTGTTTTACAGTTAAATGAGACAACCACTTGCCCTGCTCCTGCGCTATTGAGGTCTTATTCACAGTTTTTGTTCTAACAACTTCCCTAACAAAACCATTGATAGCAGCACTGTGTTCTCCCACCTGCCATGCACCTAACGATTGCTGGGAAGTCCTTTTCACAGTGTTCAGGGTCCTGCCCTGTATTGCCTTCCAGAATACTCTGTATGTTGCAGAAGCCGAAGCATGAAGAAGATACATTGCTACTGATACAGCAGTCAGTGTAGTTGTGGTTGCGTCCCAGTGACCCCTTCTGGCTGTCATACAGCATGGGGTCAGTCATGTTGTCTGGCGGAAGCAGCGCTCTGGACAGCACTGCAAAACAAAATCATGAAGAGATGATAAGAATTTGAGAGTCATTTGCACAATAAGCAGTGAAATAGTTACACTATGATTTTGACTTGTTCACTTTCTTTGGCTAATTCTTATGGTCATTAGGTCATACAGCATATCATTTTATCCTTTTGATGTTATAAACAAGATTTATGCTAAATTATTCTGCTCCAGCAGTCCCCAGTATGCAACAAAATTTCTCCTTCTCTCAGTAATTAAAGCAACTCATTTATAACTTTCAATCAATGGAAATTATGAACAATCTCATGTTGTTGGTTCTAACACTGCTTGGTACAGAGGAAGCCCAACTTTTCAGAAGAATATATAGCCTCCATTTCCAGGGATGAAGGAAAAGCCAACAACAAACCAGCAGAAGAAGTTAAACTCAGATTGATCCTGCTTTTGTTGGCTTCTTGCTTGGCTTACTCTCTGACACTGAAAATGGAGGAGATACGTTCGCCTGAAACGCTGGGCTGTCTCCAAACTACATGGTGTTACAACCTAGACAACCTTAATCTTCATATATGAGGTCTGACAATAAAGTTCGTGATGCTGTGTTGTTGTTGATCTATGATATTCTCTTTCTGAGCGATGTCTATTACTGTCTGAGCGTGATCTGGTGTGCTATCTCCAACAACTCATGGATCTTGCTTCACGACAATGCACCACCTCACATGGCAATGTCTGTGAGGGAGCTCTTAGCTAGTAAACAAATAACTGCTGGAACACCCTCCCTGTTCACTGGTTCTGGAATACAGTTACTTTTTTCTGTTCCAAAAGATAAAGGAAATATTGAAAAAAAGGCATTTTGATGACATTGATGACATCAGGAGTAATACAACGGTAGCTCTGAAGACCATTCCACAAAACCAGTTCCAAAATTGTGTTGAAGGGTGGACTAGGCACTGGCATCAGTGCATAGCTTCCTAATGGGAGTATTTTGATTTGTGACTATAGTGATACTTAGCAATGATGTATATTGCACTTTTACCACAATGAGTTCACGAACTTTGTCAGACGACGCTATATGAACATTAACTGATGTATGAGATTTCAGAAAATGGGTAAAGAAGTATGTCAGTTTGTTATGCAGAAAATGATGCTTCATCTTCTCAAAAATTCTTGTGGGTTCTTACAATTCTACTTACTACTATGTTACTTATTTAGCACTTAAAGAGCTGCAAGTTCAGTCCTATTTACTGCCACAAGAAATGAGAATGACTAAAACACAGCTGTCAGCATAGTGACAACCAAACATCTAGGAATAGATCCAAATCGTGAAATGTTTTGTATATTGAATGTACTTCATATAAGGGGCAATGCCAACACAATCATAACAGAATTATTCAAAATTCTTTCACAGACATTGTAAGGAACATATTACTGCCCATGAAGAGATGGCAGGTAGAAGTTATTTTGCTTTTAACATCCTGTACTCACCACTGAGTTTGTGAAAGGACCTCAGTATTGGACTGCTATTGACTTCACAAACATAGATGCCAGAATCACTGGGTTTAGCATCTTTTATTACTAGGACCCAGACATCACCACCTGTGGAAATATATTATAATCAAAATCACTAAGTAACTTCTTATTAATACAGTGTTATGGTGTGTAAAGTTTGCTGTGAGGTTCATTAAGTTAACACAAGTAGCTGTTAGCTGTTATGGGTTGGTGAGAATTTTCCATATATTAGCATTTATTAATACAGGTGAAGAAATCCTTACAAAAATTTCACAGACTAAGTGATTCAGGGATCCAAGTGAAAAAAAAAAACTCATGAATATTAAGCAAGATGCTCTATATTAATATTACAAGTATTACCATTGAAAACAATAATAATAATAATAAAAACAACAACAACAACAACAACAACAACAATAACAATAATAATAATAATAATTGTCATCACCACCACCACCACCACAACTATAGTGGAAGTTACTATCACAGTCATCATAGCTGCAGTGATTATCAGCAGAATTACATTATCACCAAAACCACTGTCATCACAACCATCACTAGTCATCAAAACCTTCACCACCACCACCACCATCACCACCGCCACCACTGCCACTATTATAATCATCTGACCCAGTGTTCAGAAAATTTTCTTAGATAAAAATGTAATGTTTCTGATGATAATGCCATGTACAATGCATGATACAAAACTGAGTATCTTATCAGGATCAGTGATCAAGCAATTTCTCTCAAGTGGTAATTCTTCTGACTTGCAATTGTGAGGAGCTGGTTAAAATCTTGGCCAGGACACCAGTATCCTGACTGATGTTCTTCTAAATCCGTTTCTAGTTATTTGTCACTAATTCCTGTGCCACACGGCACTACGTAGTCTGAGTGCTGGCAGAGCATTTAATAAATCTTAATTATGTAAATATTACATGTAAGGAACGATGTTCAGATTATTTAAAAAGTATTAATTAAGTATTTTGCAGAATCAAGGATGCCAGATGGGAAAACACAAGAATTCCAACAGCTGGTTACTCCATATAACACCCAACTGTGTAAGAATTCAGCATTCACTCCTCATTGCCCCTGATGTAAATGACCTTGCAGCTAATGAAACATCAGTTATAATATGGGACAACAAATGTCTCCCATTTAATTACCTATTTAGTAAGGAAAAGTGTCTTGTGTTTAATTAATTACATGCCATGCTTGGAAATGATGTAGGCCCTGGAATTGATATATACAAACATACTTAACCCTTGGCACTGAGCTGGGTAAGCGGTTAGATTTATGCCCAGACCGCTTTATCCACGGGAAAGGAGCCCCTAGTAACAATTTGGCAGGAGGCTAGGTGAGTCCACAGACGGTCTGGACACAGCAGTGAAGAGAAGGATTCAACCTATACCTGGCATCAAACTCTGATAATCCAGTCAGCAGGCCGTGAGTCTATTTATTTTATTCAGATGACTGGATAAAATCAACTAGGTAAGGTTTTCCTTGTGTCTGTATCATGACACAAAGGGGTATGTGGAAAATAGAGGTCATGCATTCTTAATCTGTGCTGGATGAAGATGGATCAGACTTTTTACACCCCCACCCCCAGTGGAAACCAGCCTACATTTCCCATTGACTAAGAAAGTGAGTGAGTTCCTTTGCGGATCTGAGCAATCAATTACAAACTGCTTAATATATGAATTATGTTTATGTAAGTAATGAATGTTTTGGGCCAATGTGGGTCATAGTTTTATTACACTGAACATTATCCAGAGTATATGTGCTATACCAAAAGCACAACACTTTGAAGGCTGCTTCTGGTTTCATATTCAGACAGAAGGGGGAACTGGTATAAAGACTAGGGCAATTGATCCAGCAGATTAGCCCCCCCCCAGTTCCCTGAAGACAAAAAAAAGGTTCATGTTCCAAAAAGTTTTGTTTTTAGTGTAACACCTAGAGGATGGATAATGTTCAGCATACTGAAACCGAGCTAGAATCTGCACCTGGCTTCCTGTTCGTGTAACAGAACGTCATAATAACCAGGTCTGTGAATATGTACACGAGTTCCAGTCAGTGATCAAACACTCATGGATGTGTTCAAATAGCCTTTGATACAAGCTAAAACGACAAGCGATTAAATGAATGTTTCATGGCCGTTGGTAAATACATCGGTAAATAACTGCAAATGTCCTCTGTTGCGACATGTATGGATTTTCACTGGGTTTGAACTTATAAATTAAAAAAAAAATGAATAACTTTCAAATATATTAGATATTTAAGATTGGTGTGCACTGTAACATACAATGCAAGGCAATCCAGTAACAGGGGAAATATTCATCCTTAAGGTTTTCATAAGAGACTTTTTTTTTTTTCATGATATGTTTGTCAAATTTAAAAGAAATACTGATCGTGCTTCACGGTAGAAAATATCACAGGCCTTCTACTATAGTTTTATACTATTTTCTGATTCCATATCTCACAAGTAATGTTCAAGCTGGTAATATTGTGTCATAACATCCTGTTCAAAAGATCTGCATGCGACACAATAAGAGGAACTACCTTTTACTGTAGGGTAAGTTCGTGCACACATATATCACATTAAATATATAATGCATGAAATACTAATACATGGTTCATGGACACATAGACGAGGTCATATCCCAAAAATTGAACTTACAGACGGAAGCACAGCAGTTTCATCAGCAATTTTAGAGACACCTGAAGATGATCAATGTCGATTGGAACATGTAGTGTGCATATGTGTACGTCAGTGATACAGAAGTGACTTTAACGTTTAAAAGTTTTAAAAGGTTTTAAAAAAGCAAGTTGCATGTGAGACGGCTAAACTAACAGGAATATTCAAGAATTACACACAGAATTACAGGGTTTTTAGACTTTTTCCATCTTCCAGAATTCTACAAATAGAAAATACGATGTTTTGGAAACTGGATCTGTTTCTGTGTTTAGGTGAGGAAGGAAGACACCTACTTGGGCCACGCCGTAGCTCAACCGGTTAGTAGCTGGCTTCCCACCGCGGCGGTCCGGGTTCGATCCCGGGTCTGGTCAAGTAGGATTTGTGGTGGACAAAGTGGCACCTACTCCTGAGAACGGAAACAGATCCAGTTTCCGAAATGTGTTTTCTATTTCCTGGAATTCTGGACGATGGAAAAAGCCCCAAAACCCAGTAAATCTGTGTGTTATCCACCATCGTCAGAACCCTTTAGAATCTACAGGAATAGTCAAAATTGATAAATACGTACTTAGCATGACGAGAGGGTCTCAAAGACGTTATGTGACTGCAGCGCAGTCTGGTAGACGTTTACTAGCGTCACATCCCATTAGGTACAGCAACTTTTTATCTCAACCGATTCAAATTACTTTGTCATAGTGGATAATTTATGTTTATATCCTAAGAGATTTAAACAAACAGACACTCGGTAATGGTCCGAAACTGGGGTATATTTGTAAGCCCACAGCTGCAGGGCGGAGGAAAGTGTGATATTTATAGACCTGGTATTGGTTGGACTGAAACAAGAACAGTAATGTAATATTATATTTGGAAGACAGGAGGAAGAATAAAAGGAAGAGGTATTGGTAGATATTATAAACGCTGGACGGTAGCATGTCGTAAGTCCATCTTTGGAATGCAAAAGAAGAGGAGATACTGTGTAAGATTTGAGGCTTTCACGGCGGTGACTATTCTTCTGGGATTTGGCACCGTGTATATGTGGTATTAACCGACGTTTCGAAGGAACGTATCGCCTCCATCTTCAGGGTAGAAGAAAAATATAAGAAATTTGCAAGCTAAGAGACCGTGAGAACCGGTAAAAGAAGACTGCTTTCTTCAAGAGGAGATACTGTTGGACCTCGTAAATGTTGGAATGAAAAGAGTGCAAGATTATAAGCCTATCACTGAAAGGTAAGAAAAGAAGACATGTTCGAAAATTTCGTCAGTACCGAACTGAAGAAGGAAGAGAATTGTAAGCCTATGTTTGAAAGGCAAAAGAAGAAAGGGCAAATAAAAATGAGTAACCAAGAAAAAAGACATCATGACTTTATATCTAAATAATACGCTTCTTTTAATGTAAACCTCGAGGTATTGTTGGACGGTTAGTTACTGTGAAGTTGCGCACCGTGTCCCTGTTTAGAAATTGAAAGAATGTTTCGTGTAATTCATTCCAGTTCCACTGTTGCAGCCTGCTTGTGCTATTTTAGGAATCCCATTTATTTCATGTATGGACCTCTATGTTTAGGGCATACAATTACACATAACATATGCATGCCAATTTACCGGCACCAAACAAACACAGAATATATTAGTGTAAAGCGATGCCGTTGCCTTTCATGTGGACAGAGCAAACGCAATACAGCAACAGATGCCTTCAGTGAAATTCAGTCTTGAAACCACAAACTGTTAACTGTAATTCTCCGTTGTGAGTGACGTCACACAGTAAATACAAATACAGAAGAGACAATTACATGTACCCCTTTTTAAATACCGATTGCACCATGTGTATGGTTAGGGTAAGGCAAAGTTATCCCCGTGCTAATTAAGCACCACACCGTGAAAACATATGGGGGAGTAGCGGTATAGCTCCAGCATTAACCTCGGTAAGTGGAGGTAAGTGATCAGCTTCACGCCCCTTTACCCTACCCCCCGAAGAAACATCCCTCGGCACCCATTGTATTGGGGGCTTGGTGGGCCCCAGAGTATCTCTGGACGTTAAAGAGAAGAGAAAAATCTCTTGCCGCTACAGGGAATTGAACAGCGACTCCTGGGCCGTCCAGCCTGTAGCCTAGTCGCTAATTTTAAGAAATGTGGCAAACTGATTATAAAACTGTAAAAAAGTAATTAATTCCGTGTTATAATAAGAGCGATTAAGAGAACTTGTAACCGAAGTGCCAGTAAATCAAAACATCCGGTCTTGAACCCGTTATTTTCGTCACGCGTGTCCCCCCCCCTCCCCCATGAGGATTTCTGAAAGTTTTAGTATACGTATAATGACGTTTGCGTATTTTTGTCATACTTCAAAAAGGCTGTCTCTGGTTCGTAATACCAATACAATTTACGACGTATTAGCCTATTTCACGATCTTCTTAATTTTATAACGAAATAGGAGGGATTGGAGATATATTACCCTTATGCGATAAATAATATATTCTAAAACCAGATAAGATAAAGGTAAAGTTGTCGCTTTCCTAAATAATTAAGCATTATGACATGAAGAAGTAAGGGTAGTTGGGTAGAGCTACACCATTCCGGACCTCGGTATTAGGTGGTGAATGGTCAGCTTCACGCCCTGGCCGCTTTAACTCCTAGGAAAGAACCCCCGTACCAATAGGGTATAAGGTTTGGTGGGGCCTCAGCGCCGGTATGCAGAGTTTGGAGAAGATAAAAATCTTGCCTCTGCCCGGAATCGAACACCAGCCTGAGACCCGTAGACCCTCCTCTTAAATAAAAGTATTATAATTATAATACCCGTCCATCCATCCATCTTTCTACGGCTCTACAGCCCTTGTGGATCTTGCCCGCTTTTTCAGTTTCTTAATCTATACAGACGATAGGACTCCTTGGACGGGGGATCAGCCGGCCGCAAGGCCGCTACCTGCACACAGAATAAACGCACACAGACATCCACGCTTTGAGTGGGATTCGAGCCCACGAGCCCAGTATTTGAACGGGCGAAGACGGTTCATGCCTCAGACCGCGTGGCCACTGTGATCGGCTATACCCGTCTACCAGTGTCTAATGTAGTTTATACTGACTCCAACCGCTCCAGCTCAACAGCAGGTGACTCTATTGCAATTCATAGAATTTTGTATTGTATTAAAATCAGTTTCAGCTTGTTCAGAATTAATAGGGAATAATTTTCTTCCTATTTTAATACTTCACCTCCTTTCGTCCTATACTTGCTCCCTGCTTACCTTTACCTCGCTTCTTTCATCTCCACCAAACCTTGAATTAAATTACGTCTTATTCTTCAAATGGCACAATTCTGAGCATACTCATACAGCTGCTACGTGTGTTAAGTACGTGAACATTGTTACCGCGCGAGAATTACATAAAAATATGGACATGGATAACACACACATAATCATGAACAGCGACCTACACGTATATATATATATATATATACAGAGAGAGAGAGACAGACAGACAGAGGTGAGTGATTCGTCATGACATTATTGCATGGTAAAAAAAGTAAAAGGTAAAGCTATCCCTGTAACAGGCCGTGGAGGCCCATAGGGTTGTGAGATGTTGAGGCTCTCACATTTTCTAGACAATCAGCTCATAGATGGCTGTAAGGTTGTCAGCCTAACGCGCCGGCCCCCTTTACACCGAAGAACATTCCTGGTACTCATTTCTGTTAGAGGCTGCGTCGACCCCAGGGTCATAGCGCGGATGGAAGGATTAGGTCAATTGAAGAAGATCCAATCACCTCATCGGGATTCGATCCCGCGACCTTCCGACTTGTAGCATTGTGCCTCAACCAACTACACTACCGTGTGCTCCCATTATTGCACGGTACAAGAAAAATACTTTTCACGATTTCAGATAATTGTTTATATTGTGTAGCTTCACCAACGGTTGCACAGAACAAAAGTTCTTGTATTGTATAGCCAATTCTCAGGTGGACAACATGCAGCTAGTTGTCATATATATATATATATATATATATATATATCCACCTGTCAATAACAGAATTAAAGTCAACAGGAAAAGAATTAGTGGCTCATAAGCGGTTACCGAAATATTAATAAATTCAATTATATTACCACCAACACCAAAGATGCGTAAACACTACATCCATTTCTGTCTGAAGTAATAACAATTAGAGAATGCCGAAAATCCACATGCTAGCTGACACGCTGGCATTATCTTTCACAGATTAATTCTGAACAGAACGGTGAGTATGTAAAATTCATAAGCCAGTTTCTCTTAGGAATGAGGATCGATAGTAAATTTCAAGTCAGTTCTCAAAAAAAAAAACACTTTCAAATCGAATCTAGAATTTAACAAATAATTCCGACACCTCATTCATAAAGCAACATCAAGAACGGAAACGCCAAGCTTGTGCGGCAACTTCTCCTATACATCAGTTGTGCGGGTCACTATAGCAACGCAGGCGCTACTTCAATCAATTTGTTCTGCCTGGCCTCAGTGCTTGCTTACACACAACGGCTTTTACCCTCAGTGCATGATAGCAGATGGTTAATTAATGGCTTTGAAATTAATTCCACTGGACTCACTACATGCGACTGTCAACACATTCCACTAAAAATTAAAAAAATCAACCCTGATGTTATACATTCCACGTGCACGAAAGAAAAATTAACTTTGCCTTAGTGGGTTTAATACGGTTCTGAGAATAGAAAGAGATTGTTTCCCTCAAACAGCAATGCGCTGGTCTTTATAACTGAGACGTAATGTGTCTTCTGAGAAGTAGGAACTTTTATTTAAATATTACTTAGATGAACTCCAGACTTCAAAGGTTTACTATGATAAATTTAAATCTAATTTTTTTCCTTGGCACTACAGCCCCAGTGGGCCTAGGCCTACCTCCATGAACTTCTCCGTTCACTTTCGGTTTTTCTAGATCTTACACATTCGGTAGGACTCCTTGGGCGGGTGATCAGCTCGTCGCAAGGTCTCTACCTGTACACAAACACAGAAAAAAACACACACACAAACTAAACATCCATACCCTGAGTGGGATTCGAACCCATGATCCGTCGTCAGACCATCGCTTCTGATAACAAGACTGGCCACTTGAAGCCAATCCAGCAGTGCGATGGGAGAGGCTTCCTCTTGCTCTCTTCAATCGCACGTTAGTTGGGTCCGCTACAACCGTTTTCTTCCAAGTTTGATACACACGACAGTGAACCATCGCTAATCCGATTACAGTTAATCCGGATTTCGGATAATTCAATTCGAAATATGAAAATGTTGTTGACAGTTGAGTACAAACTTTTAAAGGCATATGGCATTTAGGAAGGCAAATGAGCCATTTATCTTTTCAGATAAAACTTGACACTTTCTTCAAATAAAATTTTAAAATAAGGCTCTACAATAATATTTTGTTATTTATTTTCATTAGCACTACTTATATCATTAAATTTTCCATTTATTCCTGTTTCTAGTGTTTTTGTTTCTTTGGGTTACCTTTTCTTACATTAAGCTGGATTATTGCCTAATCTGTATGACGTCCCCCAAATTAATCTGAATTAGCGAGGTTTTACTGTATATTTCCAAATTTCACGAGGAAAATATATAGAAAGTTATATTCACATAAGGTCAATTATGTTGATTATTTTGGTAAAATGAAGAGTGCATGGCGCAGTCAGCTTTTCCAAGGACAGGAAAGAAAGAAATGCATGTTATAGTCTGATAAATATGGTATTAGCTACAGATTCGTCTGACTGAACAACATTTAAAGCACAGATATGTGAGATGCTCTGTACACGTGAATGACAAATTCTGCGGAAGAGACAGAACCATTACCACCACCCTACAACAGATAAACAAAGAGCACTTGCCTGACATCACCTGGTCGTCCGGCGACACTGCTGGGGGGAAAACAAAGAAATTTATTTAGTCAGAGATGTTCCTCTCAAACTTCAGGACATCAAATAAAACACTAGCCCAACTGACAAGTAGTTTCTTTTAAATTACAACCTCTTTGCTTTAAATTTGTACTGACGCGGAAGTATCCAGCGATCGCAATGATAGAACATAATGCGACTGAGATTCGAACTGGATACTTTCAGATATATGTCTAATCCCTTACCGCTGCACCAACCTGCTCTGTGTGGGTCATACTTCAACGGTGGATCATAATCATAATTAGTTATAAGATAAACCTCTTTCAAGTTTAGCCTCGTATATATAAGGGTTTTAACTACTGTCCAGTGTGATTGATAAAAGTAGTGTTTTTAATTTTTCATTCTTTATATGTTTCGGTCAAAACGACCATCTTCAGAAGGATATTATCAACACATATGAAAACTACTATTACCATGTCATAAGAAGGTAAAGCTAACCCTGTAACAGGCCGTGAAAACCCATAAAGGTTGTGAGAGGTGAGGTTCCCACATTTACTCTAGACAATCGGCTCACAGATGGCGGTGAGGTTGTCGGCCTTACGCACCGACCGCCCTGGTACTCATTTTTCTTAGAGGCTTAGTGAACCCCAGGGCTATGTTGCGGCTGGAAAGATTATGTAAATTAAAAAAATGCACCCAAAATATTATATCTTATCCATATGTGTTGATAATATTCTTCTGAATTTGGTCGTTTTGACCGAAAGATGTAAAGGATGAAAAATAAAAGAGTACAAATTTTATCTATCACACTGGACGGTGGTTAAAAATCTTATATACAGTTGGTAGTGTGAAAGACTAGGATTAACCAAGTTAAGTATGTTCTACAATGATAAATTAATTATTAGATTATGCATAAGCCGACATCCTAGTTGTCTTTTCCGTCACGCGTTTTTAAAAGGTAATGCATATCCATTAACTGTAAGTTGATATCTTTAATGAGATTACCATGCACCTTCCATTCAAGGATTGCGTTTCATCATACGTTGGACAGTTTTATCTTATGAGATATAACGCCCTGTATTCCGGTAAAAGCAGCGCTCTGCTTCCTGTGCGCTTCATGCTGGCTTCTTGCTTGGCTTCCCTACGACCCTCAAGATGGACGGCGATAAGTTTCCCTAAACGCTGGTTGAGTTTCACCGAACTACACGGCGTTATATACCAGAAGATATTATTCCTCATAGAGCACCTCAAATTCAGGAAATTATGCGTAAAACTTAATGGAAAGATCACATATGTCCATCTGTCCATTTTTTTCCCTTGGCACTACAGCCCCAGTGGGCCTACGCCTACCTCCATGAACTCCGTTCACTTCGGTTTTTCTAGATCTTACACGTTCGGTAGGACTCCTTGGGCGGGTGATCAGCTCGTCGCAAGGCCTCTACCTGTACACAAACACAGAAAAACGCACACACACAAACTAAACATCCATGCCCTGAGTGGGATTCGAACCCACGATCCCGGTTTCCAAGCGAGCGAAGACAGTACATGCCTTAGACCACTCGGCTACCGTGACCGGCCCATCAGTCCATTACCATATTTTTTTTTTCGACGCTCAACTAATTATGATAATAATTTGGGTAGTAAGTCAATACTAAAATTTGTCGGACAATTTAACTTCAAACCATACAGACCAATTACTGAATATGCTTTATATGAACATTCTCAAATTTTTAAAAATTTGTTGAAATTCTTCTCGTCATTATGAAAACATAAGTAAGCACAATTAAAAATAATTTCTGATTCTGCGACCTTATATTTGCATATCAATTACCATTACAACAGTAGCTTTATATCTTCCATATGTGAACCCCCAAATTAAAAGAAAGTAGACGTTTTCACGGCGGCGAAAGCTCAGATTAGAGTCTAGGGTTATGACAAAACGTAGCCTGGAAGATGGTGGTTAGCATTTCGAGGAAACATACCGACTCCAGCTTCGGGGAGTGAGGGCACAATACAAATAACACGAAATAAATTACAATATGCAAGAAATGCACCTGCGTAAGAAGTAAAAGCCCTATCCCACTGAAGCGAAAATTTCGACTCTCCTTAAAGTCATATTACATAAATATATTAGAATCAAACCAGCACATAGAGAACTGTGTGATATTTGTTTCTCACCCTGAAGATGGAGGCTGAATGTTTCTCAGAAATGCTGGTACCCATTTACAAAACTACACATCGATGTATTTCAGAAGACTGTAATCTTAACGCAGAGAACTGTGTACTTGGGGATATATCATTACTTATTAATGGACTTAAAAGTGACGAGCAGACACATCACTCATCTACTGCCTCGTTATGCTAACAATAACAAATCTACATAGATATATTGCCGTTTATCCCGGGGCCCTGTCCATACCTAGACTACACAGCGCCGACTGGCAGGATGTTTGTGACTTACTAATTTGAAAGCATTCGGTACACAGTGGTGAGAGCCTGAGCCAGGTACCATATTGAGGTTTCCCTGAAGGAACTCAAAAAACAACGAATAACCTCAGATGGAACAGTCTGCACCACCGTCGGTATTCGAACCGAGCACATGCTGAATACAAACCTACAGCGTGACAGCAACACCAACTGGCCCAGTAATTACTAATTAAACATCAAGTATGGCCTATGACAGATCTCGAATATGTGGCACAGTTCGGATATTTGGGAACGACGATAACAAATCAAAACCTGATTCAAGAGGAAATTAAGAGACTAAACTTGGGTAATGCTTGCTACCATTCAGTGCAGAACCTTTTGTCTTCTCTTCTGCTCTCCAAAAACATAAAGATTATAATATACAAAACTATAACTTTGCCTGTGGTTCTGTATGGGTGTGAAACTTGGCCTCTGACATTAAGGGAGGAACATAGACTGAGGGTGTTTGAGAACAGGATGTTGAGGAGAATATTTGGACCGAAGAGAGATGAAGTCACAGGAGGTTCAAGAAAACTGCATAATGAGGAGCTTCATAACTTGTGCTCTTCTCCAAGTATAATTAGAATGATCAAGTCAAGGAGGATGAGGTGGGCAGGGCATGTAGCACGAATGGGGAGAAGAGGAATGCATATAGGATATTTGTGGGAAAGCCAGAAGGAAAGGAACCAATAAGGACACAAAGACGTAGGTGGGTCGATATTATTAAAATGGATCTTATAGAGAAAGAATGCGGTGGTATGGTTTGATTTATCTGGCTCAGAATAGGGACCAATGGAGGGATTTTTGAACCCGGTAATGAAACTTTCGATTCCATAAAATGCTGGGTAGTTCTTGAGTAGCTGCACAAGTGGCGGCTTCTCAAGAGGGGCTCAGCTCCATGAAGTTAGATAGTATGGACTATCGGTCTGAAAGATTTTTAATGACTGTGTAACAATACAAAAGAGAAAGCCGTTAAATCCATGTCTGATGAAGAAAGTATTGTATTTATGCCTTTTCGAATTAGACAACCTTTTTCAGGAACTCAAATGTGTGTAGAGAGGGGTAAACCAATAATTTACAAGCCATCACACTATCGACGCAATTTCGTGTGTTGGGCTTCATGCAGTATCAATAACAGCTGACTGCAGCTGTGAGGCACAATACATGAACAGCCCCGAGGTGAGCAATATTATGCGAAACCTCGTTGGAGCTTCTAGCTTAACTGTCAACTCGATTGACAGGGCGACCAGCTACCGTTCAGTTAGGTTCTCTTCATATGACAAAATCCGGATAGATTTAAATTCATAACAAGATTATCAAGGCTCAAAAGATTGGATTAAAATTACAAATTGACAAATTTAATAATCTACAGTGGCTAATGAGACTGCTCAGAAGAGATATATGTGGGTTAAATATCCATGATCACGCGATAAACATCATATACACGCTTAGTAATTCAGGGAATAACGGAAACTGGTAGTAGCCTATATTTATAACCACTGTTCATACATAGATACTGATTAATGAAGAAATAAATATTTCATATTCAGCTGTAATTGGATAGGATTAATTCATATCCTTTCACTGAATAAGTTGGCTTATTGCTAACGCTTTTGACTCGTATTAAGAAGGTACATGGTTCAAATTTTTATGGAGACAACGAATATTCTGAGTCTTTCGTGGATTTCCTCAGACCCTCCAAGAAAATTCCGTATAATATCTTCAAATCGACCATTACATTTTATTCCACATCACTTCCAAAATCATCACTCACTACACATCATTCCCAATTCATCATTCTTACACATAATTTCCAATTCGTCATTCACTACACATCATTTTTCAATTCATCATTCACTAATCACCCTTTCACTGGACGCTACACGGTCTCGGCTACTAAAAGGGTAATTAAATAAAACCCAAATAAATAAATTATGCCCTTTTATAACGGGTAGAATATGCAAGACGAATATGCGTTTTGATATATATATATATTTTACCGTAAAGGTAAAGCTAAGGTTGTCCCTGTGCTTAATTAATCACTCTCATGAAGACATGGGGGAGTGGAGGTATAGCTCCACCATTCTTGAACTCGGAACCATATATAAATTAAATCGATTAAAATTTTTTTAAAGAAGTGCCTAAAATCCATAATTTTATATCCAACAATAAGAGAACACTTTGTTACAATTTGAGAAAATGTTTGATTATGATGAAGAAAAGCAATTATTATTTGTACGTACGTACAGAAACAAACCGATAATGGACAGAAATACATAGATATTGACAAAATCACAATACAAGACACAGAAAACGCAAAAACAATAAGAACAAACATAAAGCTTTGTTGCAAAACAAAAGATGGTGAATATCCAGTTCTTTCTGATAGCTTTCTAGAGTAGGCTTATTGAACAGAAGTTACAGAGCATGATGGAAAAGAGCCGGTTGTCTTCTTTTATTCTCACTGTCGTGTCATTGTCCCGTAGATGAACAGCAGCCCTACTGTAACCTTTTGCTTTAATCAGATGTCCCTGCTCACGAGACCAACATTCCAATAT